AAATCTGGCAAAACCTTTTCTTTCTGGCACAATTACTACAGGCAACACTTACTGTTTCCCCGTACTTCAATATTATACCTCTGACTTGCTAGAAAGTATTTTCATACATAATTCATATCAGAGGTTCTCAACTAGCCATTTAAAAGCAAGATGTGACTCTCAGTGAATGTGCTATTAAAATATTTAACCTTTTTATGAATGAAGTGTTTTAAGTGCTATTTTTTATATGATAACGAAAAATGGAGACCTCTGTTTTCGTCTATCATTTTATCTGAGGGCACCTGTTGTGGAATGTGCTAGGACTCTCTGTCTAAGGTCTCGCATTCAAAACGCTGATCAATTATTTAGAACAGAGAGGCCAGAAAGGATCAAATTTAACAAGAGAGCATGAAGCATTTCTTTGACTTAGGGTGAGTGACTTCCAAGATATGGTAAAATGGAAAGCAGAAAAAAAAGGAGGAAATATTAAATGTGGGTGAGTCAACAAGCTGAACTGAAATAAGGTAAGGAAACTATGATAAGAAGCAGAACCAAGACCAAGAACAATGTGAACGATAAGGATGGAGAGAGCAAATAGAAAGGGTGTGATAGAAAGCGTGAAGTGGAATAAGGCACAAGATTAAGATAAGGAGGGGAACATGACACAGAAGAAACAAGACAAAGTAAAAGGTAGATTTGTTTATCATAGGGCAACCTGGGTATCGATGAAACGTTGGGCTTTATGATAAAAGGTGGCTGAAAGAACGACTATTGTTGGTACCTATAACTTCTAATCCAATCAAACTTTTCTCTTCATTTTCTTATAGCTAGAAACACGAAAAAAAGCATCTGGTTTTCATGAGAAATGTTTAGTTCTCATGATGTATTTTCATAAATATAATGGATTTTGGACAGATCATCAGTGATATTAAAGCGGGAGTAAACCGCATAAAAACAAAAAAAGAAAAAAAAAAACTCTTGCAAGGTAAAGGCCTAATGTGCTAGTATGCATTGCATACTAGCACATTACGAAGGACTCACCTTGAAATGAAGCCCTCCAGCGGCGCACTGTCAGGGCTCCCCGGGTGGTTCCATCTTCACCTGATGTTCCTTCCAGGTTCGCAAGCTCTGGCCAGCTGAAAGGCCGAGCCGCAATGATGTCACTCCCTGGCCATGGCACACTGCTCTGAAGGAGTAGCATGGGTATGAAATTCCTTCAGAGCACATGAGCTGAATGTCAAAAAGGGCTAATATCTCCTAAATGCTTCACGTTTAGGAGATATTAATTTTACCTACAGGTAAGCTTTACCATAAGCTTACCTGTAGGTAAAATTATTCAAGAAGAGTTTACTACCACTTTAAAGTGATTCTAAAGGCAAACTTTTTATTTTTAAAAAAATAACAAACATGTTATACTTACAGTACATGCTCTATGTAATGGTTTTGCACAGAACAGTCCTGAGGGCCCTCTGTTTCCTCTTGTACCAAATTGTATTGTAACTTTAATGTCTACTTTCATTTTGTAAAGCGCTGCGCAAACTGTTGGCTCTATATAAATCCTGTATAATAATATAACAATAATCCTCACCTTCACGGGTCCCCTGCTGGAGCTCCTGGCCCCTTCCCCCCGCCAAGTGCCCACCATAACAAGTGGGGGCACTCATGCGTGCATGCTTCTAGGCCCCACTCTGTGTATCCATAATAACCACAGAGCGGGGCAAGAGCACACCCCTGCTCCCTCCTCACTGGCTGTGATTGACAACAGTGGGATCTTATGAATAGGCAGAGAGCCTCTGCTGTCATGTACATCACTGGATCGAGATCGGCTCCGGTTCACTCACATTATACACTTACTGGCCACTTTATTAGGTAACCTTGCTAGTCCTAAGAAAATCTCCCCCACACCATTACACCACCACCAGCCTGAACCATTGATACAAGGCAGGATGGATCCATGCTTTCATGTTGTTTACACCAAATTCTGACAACACCATCTTAATGTCACAGCAACCAGTTTCCCCATTCTCCTCATACATCAACAAGGCATTTTCGTCCACACAACTGCCGCTCACTAGATATTTTCTCTTTTTTTGGACCATTCTCTGTAAACCCTAGAGATGGTTCTGCATGAAAATACTCAGACCAGCCCATCTGGCACCAACAACCATGCCACGTTCAAAGTCACTTAAATCCCCTTTCTTCCCCATTCTAATGCTCGGTTTGAACTTCAGCAAGTCGTCTTCACCATGTCCACATGACTAAATGCATTGAGTTGCTGCCATGTGATTGGCTGAATAGCAATGTGTGTTACTAAGCAATTGAACACATATACCTGATAAAGTGGCCGTGAATGTATATTCACTGCAGTTAAACACACTTTTGTTGAAAAAAAATTATAGCAAGTTACAAAAATAAATAACATATACCAGGGGTTTCCATATTTTCTAAACAAAGGGCCAAGTTTATGGTTCTTACAGACTTTACAGGGCAGCCACTGTCATATTCCCTAAAATTCAATTTGGCCAGTGGAAATAGAAAATGTCCTGACATCAGTGGGAGTAAACGATGCCCCATCTTTGGTGTCAGTGGAAGGAATAATGTCTCATTGTTGGTGTCATTTGGAGGTACATTATAGTGCCCCAATGGCTGGATAAAGGCAAGCAGAGGGCTGCATCCAGCCCCAGACCCACAGTTTGGAGACCACTGGTCTATACAATTGCTACACATGCCATATTTTAATTTAATGTTATTAAAATTTACCTTTGCTTTTTAATCTGCAGCCACTGTAATATTCCGTAATATTCAATTTGGCAACCTGGAGGCCTTCTGTATGCTGTTAGAGTACAGAAACCCCCAGTGCTTGTGTGATTGGCTCACTGATTTTCGCAGAAGTCTGCACTAAAATACAAATCAAATTTTAGGCTTCCCCTGCAAAAGGAATTGCAGCTTTGATGAGATACTCCTCAAAGGTTAAATATTTCTATTTTTATTTTTCTGAAAAATCTTTATTTTCATTTTTGCATAAGTCAATATAGAAAAGACCAAAAACAAAGGAAAAACAATACATACATTCCAGGAAGAGGACCGAACTGTCACAAAAGAAATATCATGACAATGTTACATATGCCAGAGTCAAATAAAATGGTCAGCTCGTAAGAAGTAAATATTATCAGTTAAGCTATCTGAATTTTCACACAACCCAAAGAAGAATGCAGAATGGAAGAGAGAAAAGAAACGGGAGGGGAGAAAGGGGGGTATCGGAAAAGGGGCAAACAGATGATAAAATAGCCATAGAAAACACATACAGTATATAATCTGTCCTGGTCAAAAGGTCCCTGAAGGGTGCTAACAAGAGAAACATGTTTTTCAAAATTAAATACATCAATTATTACGCCATTAATTTTTTATATCTGTCAGAGGGGAGAAATTCAATCCATGGGGCCAAATATCTATAGAACTTATCATAAGTATGTGTACATTGATGTCTCCACTCCTCTGCATCCATAATGTCCTGTACCTTCTGCAGCCACTCCTTGACTGAAGGCAGCACAGGAGAATTCCAATGTACTGGAATAAGACACTTAGCAGCATTGAGGAGACGGGGCATCAAGGAACATTTGTATGTCCCAACCGATTGTTCCGTGCCATGGAATAGGGTAGGTAAGGGATCATCAGCCAGATGGAATTGTCACCTCATGAATGATTGCTCGATTGTCAAACCAGAAGGGATGAATGACTGGACAATTCCACCACAGATGTAGGATGTGCCTCTCTGCCCACACCCTCTCTAGCAGGGCCCAGATAATTTCAGGAAGATGCGAGATAACCTATCAGGTACCCTATACCATCTGGATATAAATGTATAACAGGTTTCCTGGGTTTTAGAGTTAACCGATGAAGTATAAGCCAAGGATAATATTTTATATACACTAACGTCCGGCACGTCTTTGCCCAGTTACTTCTCCCACTCTCGGATATAGTAAGGAGTCGTGTTGGTCGATTTTTCCAATAGTAATTTGTATAATTTGGAGAGTAGATGAGTAGCACCCACCCTATCTAAACATATAGACTTGAACTTAGATAAAGGGTTAAATACTTCTAAAGTGATGCAGCCTCTGTAACGTACTCATCAGAACATTGCGAGTGCACCAGGTGATTATAATAGACCAGCCTCTCTCATTCTGAATCAGTATTCAAAGGACATGGCCAAACAAACACAGAACAAACTTCTGAACAACAAGGGATATGAACAAAGTTTGCAAAAAAATCCCTGCAGTGTACATTGACCACCCAGAGGACATTGTTTTTTTCTCATCTAAAGTGAAGTTAGTCTTTAAGGCCAAACCAATATCTAATTTTTTTTGGAGGGGGGTGTAGAGGGCGATGTGGAAATCTGGGGTAAACTTTACTTACCCTTTCAGCTTCAGTTCAGTTCCTTTACTTACCCTCTAAGCTTCACATCGGCTCTCCTTGCTAGTTTTTGCTTGTCTGGGCTGGAAGGATAACACCACAAAGTAAAATTACGGAAACTTAAGGTGTACCTATACCACAAAAATTATATATTTCAGTTTACCTTAGATGTGGTAACTGCATTAGTTTGCTTTTATTCAGCTTTTTAAATTTATTTTCTGCTGTAATCCTGCAACTAACACAATTACTGTCTTAGGGTGACAACGCTCACCCACCGTATTGTATCTTTGGAGGAGCAGTGTTGTTAACCTAGGCCAGAAACTGTGTTAGCACTACAGAACACCCCCTTCTTACCCTGTCAACATATCATGGGAGAGGTGTTCTGTAGTCCCAAGATGTGCAGTGAGAGGGCTGATATCACTGCTGTTTCATGACAGAGTAAAGTGCAAAGGACAGAGGACAACACTGCATTTCTGGTAGGACCACTGAAAGAGCTTTATAGCTGTGGATGTAGATAGCAGAGCTGCAAAATGAGTCACTTTAGTTAGGAAGTTGGACAAGTAACTCTATTTTATGTTTCTATTTTGACCTTACAGGACATTAATATCAAAATGTACAGCCAGAAGCGCTATGACAGCCCACCAGATTACAGCCCACCTACGTATCATCAACAGAACAGCCATGGATCCTATGGTTATCCCATTAAGTCTGCACATCCCGATTCATTTTACCAAGAGGACATCCCTCCGCAGCACTTCTATAAGTGGAACTCACCACCTGGCATCGTCCGAATTCTTCAAGGCATTGTTGTATTTTTGTGTTTGGCTGTTTTTGCCTGTGTGGCATCAACATTGGCCTGGGAATATAACTATGGCTACATGGGTGGCTTAGGTGGCTTAGGTGGATACGGCTATGGTGGATATGGTTATGGGGGATACCTTGGTGGCTATGGCTATGGTAATAGCTATGGTATGACCAATCCCCAAGCAGCAAGTGGCTTCATGATGGCCATGTCTGTGTTGACTTTTATAGCTAACTTGGGACTATTTATAGCGAGTGTAACTAAATCCAGTGGAACACGGTCACGTAAATTCTTTATGATTGTATTGGTGCTGAGTGCAGTTTTGGCTACCCTGGATCTTATCGCCACCATTGTGTATATTGTTGGAGTAAATCCGAGAGCCCAGATGAGTGGTGGCATGTATTATAGTCAGATGATGGCATTATGTAACCAATTCTACACTCCTGCAGCTTCTGGAGCAGGCATCATGAATCAGTATCTCTACCACTACTGTATGGTGGATCCACAGGAGGTAAGCTCATGTTATTTGCCTTGAAAAGATCAAAGTTGCATTTGTTGTTTTTTTTTTTTGTCACATAGCATATAACTGGCATCATTCCTATGTTTTTCCCAGGCTATTGCTATAGTGTGTGGCTTTATTGTGGGCATTCTGCTCTGTGTCACATCCTTCTTTGCACAGAAGACAAGAGGCAAGATATGGCGTTACGGGGAGCCTAATATTTACTGGGAGAGACCCTTTGAGCCCTATCAAGAGGGTCCTAATGTGGAGGAATGGGTAAGGGCTAAATTATAATTATTGATTAAATCTCACTTCTTACTGATCTGTAAAATGTAAATTTACCGGTACTTTTAAATTTAAATTACTTTTATATTTCTTAATGGTCATTGCTTCTTTAGCTGTTACAAAAACAGCATATATGCTGCACATATACTGCATGTGGAAAGGGTATGTAGAAGATGATGTTATACTTATCTACTTAGATCAGTGGTGGTCAACTTAAAAGGTATAGGGTGCCTCAGCTGCAGCCCTTGACACCATCAATGGGCTTCACATAATATTTAGTATGTGTAATGTAGTTAAGACTGCCAAAGACTGAAGGAGATTATAGAATTTGTGGACATGCTACAGGTGTAGTTGCAGCAGGTTGGCAACCATTGATGTAGACCTACTGTGAAGATCTGCTGGACCCCCTACCTCTTCTCTCCCTGGACTATCTGTTTTTCCCTGAAATATTACAAATTTCATACTTGTGTAGAACTACCCCCTTAGGAGTCGCTGAGTTATTTTCGGGCTCCCTGTCATTCTGGACCCCTTTCTGAAAGCCCAGCCTCTGCTGACACCACAGGATTCTCTCAACCAGAGTAAATTACCACCAGAAAGTAGATCACGCACAAGTTAGAGTAAACTGATATGAAATTTATATTGAACGTCAATGTAAGCTTGGTTAAACAGTACAAAGTGTTATTGGTATGTGTAATGGCAATTATTATTCTTAGCAAATTTAAGCAAAGAAGCAACACATACAGCTGAATCTCAATCAGTGTTAGCAGGCCTGCTTTTCAGAATTTAGCCCAATACCTTCAACCTGAGGCATTGTCAACCCCAGTGAGCAATGCAAACTAGCAAAACAGTAGAACTAGCTAGCTTTAGGCCCTCAGAACCTGATGGCAAGGCTTAAATCTGAGAAAAAAGAGCCTTTAAATGCAGTGAGGATTCTTCTGCAAACTTGCTGGGGCCCAGTTGGTGCACAGGTAAAATGTGATGTAGGTGACAGTTCTTTAGAAGATTGTCACAAGAAGAGGAAGAAGAAAAGGACAAGTACTCTCCCCTTAAGTGGCACTTGATTTGGGCGTTGTCCCCATTCTATGCACTCAGGGAAAACAGGAAGATTTGGGCGAATAAAGCATCTAACCGGCAGTAGGACTTGCTGTCTCTATATATCTGCCCCCACCCACATGTCAGCTCTTCTGGAAAAGTAGTCCTCTGATACATTCAGCAGTGTCCTGCGGTTCAGCATACAAGGTCCATGGGGCTGCTCTGCAGAGTGTCACTGAATTTACAGGACACTGCCATCTTGTGTTGTTTTTAACATCCTTCAGCTGACATTACAGCAAGGGTGTTACACTAGCAATACAGTGTATGTATAGCCAAAACATTGTTTGTATTTTTGGACAGACTAGACTATGCAAAAGATAAAAACCCTATGAGTTTTTTTCAGCTGTCTGATCACCATTAGAGGAATTTACCTTTACTTCCTGCCACAGAAATGCAACAGGAAGTTAAAGGAAATTGCCCAAAGTGAGGGAAATTGCCACTTTAGGTTTTCTTATTGTAAGATGTCCCATCATTTTCTATAAGGGGGCACATGGCAGACTTGGTGTTGGCGCAAGTCCCTGCCTCGCTTCTTCTTGGATAGGACAACTACTCACCTGTTGTTGATGCAACCATCTGCCATATTGTGTCACGCTTATGGCCATAGTCCCACTCATGACATTCCTGGCCATAGGCCTTAGTAATAAAGGGATGTCCACACATAAAATGCATTTCCCGCACTTTACTACAACTTTGCAAGATGTTCTGACATTGCATTTGACATACTAACTGAATTCTTTGGCATGGAGCACCATACACAGTAGACATGCTGTAGTTGTCATTTCTGCGCAGAATGTGAGCATCTAATTTATAAACCATCTTCCCTTTGCACCTCTTCTCCTGGGGAGCACCACAAGGTTGGGACCACTTCCCTTATGTATTATAATTCCACAGGATTCAGATTCCATCACCAAGTAGAATAAAGGTGCCCTCTTTAGTGTAACAGGCTCTTCCCAGTGTCCCTTCCATAGCTCTGCCCAGCCAGCATGCTCCCAGATGCCCCAGATATCCTCAGTACTCACATTAGAAGACTCTGACCTGGCCTTTTGCACTCTGCTACAGGATCCACAGCAGAAGGACAGGGGAGTCAGGGCAACTACCGCTGTTACTACTGAATTCTGTACCACCTCACCTGGGACTTCAGCCCCATTAAGGGCCTTTAAGACTGTAGCAAACTTCATCCTGATAGCTCTGGGGTTTTTGGCTCCCATGCCCCATCTCCCCTGACCTCTCTCTTATGCTGGCATATATATACGGGCACTGACTGCTCCCATTATATCACTAAAGAGGGACTTTTCTAAAAGGGAACCTAACACACAATTACACTATTCCCTTTGCCATACCATAGTGGGAACAGAGCCATCTAGTGGCAGACAAGCTATCTACACCTGCCAAATCTCTTTCTTGGTAACAATGGTCACTAGTGCAAATACAGGATTGTATAAAGATTCGATAGCAATAAAAACTGGACGGGAGGTTAACCCATCCCCACTTTCTCCAAACCAAAAACATCCCATTCACAGAAATAACCGCTTACAGTGGTCCAATAATAGATTAAATAGCTATTTAATATGTAGAAATAATGTCTGCACCCCTATGTAATATTTAGGTACATGAACTGAACAAACTGAAGAAAAATTATTGTTAGGTGTGTACAGGAGGGCACAGCGGGAGGACATCGGGGGATCGCAGGACAAGGTAAAGATCGAGGGATCGCAGGACAAGCACTATAGTGTAATCCTGAGTGTGGCTCGCGCTTACCGCTTTTGGTACTTTAAATTAACCTTGAGCCACACTCAGGATTACGGCTAGGAAGGTTAAAGTCAGCAGCTGCAGACTTTCATTTTTTAACTGACTGAAGATCGTCTTTAACCACTAGCCTACAGGGCACTTTTTCCCCCTTCCTGCCCAGGCCAATTTCCAGCTTTCAGCGCTGTCGCACTTTGAATGACAATTGCGCGGTCATGCAACACTGTACCCATATGAAATTTTATCATTTGTTTTGTGACAGATAGAGCTTTATTTCGGTGGTATTTAATCACCTCAGCGTGACAGCTCGTGAGGAGAGAAATGCCGATAACCGGCATTTCCCTATTTACATGCGATCAGCTGTGATTGGACACAGATGATCATATGACCGAGCCAACATCTTCGGCTCTTTCCATTGATCGGTGATCCGCTGTGTCCGAGGGACACAGCGCACCACCGATTGCCACGCTGCGCGCTCCCGGAGCCGTGCATGAGCAGTTAGAATGGGAGGACGTCATATGACATCCTCCCAGAACAAGAGAACCACCTTGCGTCCGTCATTGTACTATATGGCGGGCGGGAGGCGGTTAAAAATGCACCTTCAGAGGGTTATAATAAGGGTATCATTTCAAGCTGAAAAAAGGGTGATACTTTTTTTATCATTGTATTGGATCACTTTCAGCCGTGGCATACTCACTGTTACTTTATCCTACAAAAGAGCAGCGTGCTATGTTTTAAGCATTTCCAGTCCCTCTCAGGGGATGGGGGCAGAAAAAATAAATAAATATATTTTATATACACTCACCAGCTATTTTATTAGGTACACCGTGCTAGTACCTGGTTGGACCCCTTTTGCCTTCAGAACTGCCTTAATTCTTAGTGGCATAAATTCAACAAAGTATTGGAAACATTGCTCAGAGATTTTGGTCCATAATGACATGAGTTACTGTTGCCTTTCAATCACCCCGATCCAGTCTGCCCAGTCTCCTATGACCTCTGACATCAACAAGCCATTTTTGTCCGCACAACTGCCACTCACTGGATATTTTCTCTTTTTCAAACCATTCTCTGTAAATCATAGAGATGATTGTATGTGAAAATCCCAGTAGATCAGCAGTTTTTGAAATACTCAAACAGCCAGTCTGCCACCAACAACCATGCCACATTCAAATTCACTTAAATTCCCTTTCTTCCCCATTCTGATGCTCGGTTTGAACTTCAGCAAGTCATCTTCACCACGTCTAGATACCCATATGCATTGAGATGCTGCCATGTGATTGGTTGATTAGCAATTTGTGTTGCCAAACAATTAATAAAGTGGCTAGTGAGTGTATATTATAAATAATATTTTTTTTATATATAAATAAAAGAAATTAGGTGAATGTATACACCTTCCACAAACATGCCAGCCAGCAGTGACTCACAATTTACACTGTATTATATATACTGTATGTAAACTACAGTAGATATTGTGTGGCATTGCTGGCTGGCATGATTGTGAACAGTGTATATGTGTCACCTAGTTTCTCACATAAACATGGTAAACAAAAATTTTAATCGTACATTATAGGACTAGGGCACAGCACAGTATTCAGGAGCATAGGGCATACCTCCCAACTTCTGACTTTGCTAAAATTGGGCATTTTGTTAGGTGCATGTAGTGCACTGTAGCAAAAATTGGATGTTGCCAGCAAAAAAAGCGTATGTGCCCACATGGCTGTGATTTAACGATATACAGTACTTGGCACTGGAAGATGTATCAATTTATCATAATAAGGACAGAAAACATCCAAGAAGGTGTTGTTAATAAATACAATTATTTATGTATTGGTTTAGTTATCTAGAATTTTTAGTCTGTACAGTCTATTTAAAGTAATTGTAAAGTTATTTTTTTTAATAACAAACATGTTATACTTACCTGCTCTGTGTAATAGCATTGCACGGAGTGGCCTCGAACCTCCTCTGGAACTCATGGCTCCTCCTCTTCTTGGTGTGACACCATAGGAAGCCAATTTTCTATAGTGACACAGCTGTGGGTTCAATTTCGAGGCAGGCTGCCTGCATCCATAGACACAGACAGCACGGGCCGGCACCATCTCCCACTCTTTCCGTACAGGATTTGACTGACAGCAGCAAGAGCCAATAGCTCCCGCTGCCTCAGCAAAGCCTGT